CTGGATCCAGGGCCCAGCATGAAAAAAAAAAAAAAAAAAAAAAAGTTATTTAATTGAACATTTTTGGATGATATTTCTAACCCCATTTATTTATGCCATTTATTAACTCCACAAGAATTTTCTGGGCCTGAATTTTCAAATATTTCTGTTGGCGCCTCAAAAAAATTCTGCTGTAAAGGAACCTTAGGTTCATTTTTTTTTGGAATTACCCACTCTGGTTAAACTTTAACCACTGTAAAATGAGCAATTGTGGATTTAGTGGCTGATCCAGGCTGGCATTGGGAGAAACTCAACCTCAATACATAGACAGATATATTTATAATTATGATAAATAGAAATTTAAATGTTTCTCAAGGCTCTAAACCCCTCAGCACAGCTCACATGGCTCTGCCTGTTTGGTTTTTTTTTTTGGTTTTTTTTCCCCTCTGCACAAAGCAAGGGGTGAGTTGAGGTCGAAATCTCCTTTTTCTGTGCATGGAGGTCAAATCCTTTGACATTTTACACTCAGTTCTGGCACAGAGTAATCTCTCAACTCAAACCATGTGCTGGAAGTTTTTCCTCCCCTCCTGTTCCCCTTTGGTCTGGGAATTGGCCATGGTTAAAACTTCCAAGGGAACAGGTGGATGTGGCTCCTTCCTTGTGATATGAAAGAAGCAGAAAACTCGATTAAAGCAATTTATGGCCTTGGAATTCAACTCTTAACGTGGATTTGTATCCGTGACACAAAAGTGGTTTTTTTTTGTTTTGTTTTGTTTTGTTTTTTTTTTTTTTTGCTCTCCTGTTCAAAACTTGCTAAAATAGGAAGTTCAATTTACCCTCAGTCCTTTTCTGGCTGAAAACCTCAACAAATAAACAGTGGTTTTAGTGGCATGGCAACCTGCCCCTTGCAATCCAAGAACTGCTCTGAGATGTCTCTTTCAGTTTTGGTTTTTTTTTTTTTTTCTTTTTTTTAAAAAAAGATAAGAGGGTTTGGATGAGTGGAAGAGTAACTTGTGGTTCCTGATGGTGGGAATTAAAGGAAAATTTGGGGATGGAGAAGTTTTAAATCCAATGGGAAGGGGATGGTGTGCTGGGAAAGCACAGGGACACACCAGAATATCCAAAGGGAATGGGAATAAATCAGTTTTTAACCTATGGCACAATGGGAAGAGTTGCTTGGAGTTTAGCAAGGGATGGGGGCTTGGTTTTATAAAAAAAAAACACTTTGTGCCCTCTTCAGTGAGAAAATCTCACCAGAAATGCTTCAGGATGCAAAATGGGTGGGAAGGTGTGACATGGGATGTTCAGAATTGTTTTGGTTTTCATGGAATCCCAGAATCCCAGATTGGTTTGGGTTGGAAAGGATTTTAAAAATCATCTCATCCCACCCCTGCCATGGCAGGGACACCTCCCACTGT